TCGGATCGCCTTGTTTCAATTGTATAACCAATCTAATAATTCATTATCTAACTAATTTACCAAATTAGTTGTTGAATCAATTGGTCCGATCGAGCTGATTTTGATAACATACTCACTACTTATTTTCCTGTACATTTGCTCCTCATAGCATGGAGGATATTTTGAATGCTTAAATGAAGTTTATTTATTGAGATTTATAGTATATAAAAAAAAACTCAATTAATATTCAACATTTTTGTAAACTGAGGTTAATTAAATTTTAGATAAAAGCAAAAATTGTCACATGATGGTGATACAATTAGTTACCTTCATTCACTTTTATTAATTATCTCACTAAAAAAATCTTAAAGAGATTAATAATTAATTTTGCACATTAATTTACCTTTGAATAGAATCGTGCTTTATCTTAATTTAAATTTTATATATATATATATAAGCAAAAGTTAAAGATGATTAAACTATAATAAAAACCATTAGCATATAGTTATACAATATTAAGCTCTATTTTTTTGCATAATAACATGGTGCTATAACCTAAGATGGACATTAATTTATATATAATTTGAAATATGAGGTGATATATATATAAAGATATTCTTCAAATCTAAGTAACTATATAGTTCACAATTATTTAGTGAAGTCGACCAAACCTTTAAAAAGGTTATTTGTCAATTTTGACCAAGATGAAAGAGAGAACCCAACGTGTTGCATTAGTGGTCTTCTTTTAAGGATGACTATTGTGAGGGGTTACCCTTTCACTCCTTCTGCGTGGTGGTCCTTGCACTTCAATTATTAAAGGGAAACTATCTTTTGGAGTAACTTCATCTTCTGAATTCAGATTCATAGTATGTATGGTGTTATAGATAATTCCCACGATTTATTTAATAGTTTAAATAAGAGAATATTAAGATTAATGTTTAAATAAGTGTTTTACTAATACTTCTTCCCTAAATATTGTATATATATTATATATCATAGAAATTAATAATGTATGATTTAACAATTTGCATTCACACGTAGACTATATATAAATCATAAAAATTTCTTCAAATGCTTCACTTAAAAATCAATCTGACACAATATTTTAAGTACCCTCCTTCCATTTCGAAAGCAATCTTGTCTTTTGACACATTTAAATAATCTAAACATTGAAGAGGGTCTAGCATATACTTTATGAACTGAATTTAAGAGTGTCACAAATTAGATCCAAAAAGTTAAATAGCCTACACGAAACTTTTTGATATGCAAAAACATTATAAAAAAAAACTTATTTGTGAAGATTGATGAAAACCGTCCTCACATCACATGTATCTTAATTTACGTATCCAATAATGCGTGTATTAATTAATTAGATCATGCTATTATTAATTTGATGGGTAAAATAAAGAAGAGGCAGGCACACGTACTACTTAAGACTTGCATCATTAAACTGTGTTCCTAGTGAGGTACCCATTGTGCATGAATTTGGTGGTTGATAAAGAAATTCCAAAAGGTAAGAACCAATTCCCACTAAACAACCTACACATTTGAACATTTTACATAATCAGTTTGGCCTAAGAGTTTTGTAAAGGATAAATTTTTCTAAAAATGTTTATTAGAGGAAAAAACACTAAAGAAAATAAAAATAGCTTTTTTAGAAATTAAAATTATCTTATATGTAAGTTAAATTGTAAAAAAAAAAAAAAATTATGTTAGTTCCTTCAAATTTTTTTATTTTATATATAAATTAATTTTAATTTATAGAGAAGTTAATTTTATTTTTTCTTTAAATATTTTCTATAAATATTGCTAGAGAAATTTATTCAAATAAATATTGATTCAATGTGCAAATTAATTGAGTTTCAAGATTGGTTGCACCACCTACACCCGCATCACCTAAAGCATTTTGATTCATGATATATACACCTTTTTTATTTTTATAAGTACATTACTTTTTAAAAAAAAATCTAAAATATCCTAACTCATTTTTTTATTCTTTAATTTTTTTAATTTTATATCTTCAACTTTCAATTTAACTTCTTCTTCTTCTTTTTCACATACCTCATTTCCTATTCTTTTCAATTTCCACATGCATCTCTTATCTTTTTTCACTCTCCACCTATTTCAGTAGGTAATTTTAATTCTTTCGATTTCGACATTACTCTCTTCCCCTTCATATCTTTCAATTTTCAGGACCGTAGAACTAGTGTGCGATGATATTATAGGCAAGTGTAATTTTCTCGACAATTTCGAAAGTGTTGAATCAAATGCGCGTTTTTAACACATCATTCCCTTTTATACTTCTAAAAATTACAACATTAGATTTAGTGTTTCAAAAAATACATTCCGAAATATTAATTTCAATATTTCAAAAAATATTTTTTAGAACACTAAAATTATTTGGAACACTAAATTTAATTGTGTTCTCTAAACATGTAAATGAGCGGAAGTGTTTGAAGAAAAAATGCACATTTGACTTAGCACCTTCGATATTGTCAAGAAAGCCACACACACCTATAAAGTTGTTGAACACCAACTCTACGTCCCGAATATGTGTAAAAACTAAAAGAGGGGGAAAGAGAGAGTAAAAGTATGAAAACTGAAAGAGAGAAGAGAATAGAGTAATGTAAAAAATTGAAAGAATTAAAAGAGAGCACGTATGAAAATTGGAAAGAAGAGGGAAATAGGTGGGTGAAAAAAAAGAAAGATAAAATGTTAAATTGAATATTGAAAGTGTAAAATTTAAAAAATTAAAGATATTTTAAGAAAACATTTTTGTTTGGGCCCAACAAAAGGTTTATAGGTCTTCCCGATTTGAGATCTTAATATCATGATGGACCAAAAACACAACCAAATTCACAAATGAAAGGCCCAAAATCGAAAACACCCTACCCTAACAAAAGCCTGTCCCAAATTGAGATTGTTTGTATTCAGTATTTAAGAATCACGTGTAAGACTTTCATTTTTTTAATCATGGGAAAATGAGGAAGGTAGGAGAAAATGATAGAATATTTTGAAGACATTCCTGATTTAATTGATGAAGGTACTCACAGTTTCAGTTTCAGTTTTTTTTTTTGGTTCACTGTGTTACAGTTTTAGTTTAAGTGTTATTAAACCAGAATTGATTCAATATAAATTAAATAAATATTTATAATATATTCTATAATTAAATGATAAACTAATGCATAATTTATAATTATAAAAATAAAAATTTAAATTATAATAGAAAGATTATATAACACGTCTTGCAAGATTTAAATCATAATAAATAGTTATGTCTTCCACCTTGTTATAATGCGCTTGTTTCTTTCTTTTCCTTAGATGCATGGTAGATGGTAAAAATGAGTGAAACGCATAGAGAAATGAAGACTAGGAGAACTTTGAAACAATGGCTCTCATCATCGAAGGTTCTATGGAGCATGATATTAGTGCAAGTTTTTATTAGTGGGATGCAGCTATTATCAAAGGCCATACTAGTTAAAGGCTCTTTCATCTTTGCTATCGTTTCATATCGCCATACGGTTGCTGCCATTTGTATTCTCCCCTTTGGAATCTACTTTGTTTTTTTTTTTGGTTCACTGTGTTACAGTTTTAGTTTAAGTGTTATTAAACCAGAATTGATTCAATATAAATTAAATAAATATTTATAATATATTCTATAATTAAATGATAAACTAATGCATAATTTATAATTATAAAAATAAAAATTTAAATTATAATAGAAAGATTATATAACACGTCTTGCAAGATTTAAATCATAATAAATAGTTATATACTGATGACAATTCACATATAGATCTCATATATAAACCTTTATTTATTTAAATAACATTTGAGAATAATTTAAAATAAAATAAAAAAGAGTTCAAGTCGATTCTTACCTAATTTTGAATGGTTTTAGTTGGTTTTTACTGAATTTTTACTTGGTTTCCTTTGATGTCCAGATTAAAAATTAGACTAGTTTATGAGACTTAGACTGGATTTGTAAAAATAAAAAATTGCATGAAAATATTTATTATTATTACTTTTGCACATTATAAACATATTCTTTGAAAATAACGATTGTCCATATTTGACAAACTTGACAGAAAGATGCGCAAAAAGTTACGTTTAACAAGGGAAAAAAAAACACTATTATTATACTCGTTACGTGAATTTATTCTAGCTAATTGTGAAATAATACCCAATAAAATGAGCTAAACTCTCCCAAGAAAAGACGATTGCTTACTTTAGGATCAGAGACAAGAAATAGTTTTTCCATCACGAAACTTTTATTATTGTTAAGCTAAAAAGATTTCGCACTTAAATTAGGTCCTCTGTAATTAAAATTAACAATAAATAGTTATAAAATAAAATAATAAAAAAATAAAATTATAATAAACTAATTTAACTTTCAAAAAAAAAAACTTAATTGATTTTACCTTATTTTATTTTGGGACAAGTACTTTTTAAAAATGACCCTAGCTACCAAGTTAAAATCCCACCTACTAATCAATAATAGCCTCGTTAGATAGACATGAATGTGGGGTAAGCGACACAAGACTAATAAAACGAATTATTAAAGCATAAAGTAGCAGCAACTAACTCCCAAGCAAAGATGAAAATGGAGCAAATAAGGATGCCAATTGCCAAAAGCAGCACTGCCATAATTAAACCAATACAAGACAAATGACAAGTATATAAGCTGCATTAAACCTACCACAAGCAGCTTCAGGAAATGAGATTTTACATCAAAAATATAACCAGAATGCATATTCTTCATTTTTTTACAATGGCAAATAGGCTAGCACAAAAAACAGCAAATAGACTGAGTCACTGCTATTGTTGCCAGGAACAGTGGTTCCCCCATGTTACAGGGAAAATGCATGACTGTACATACTCAATGGCTTAAAGAAACCCCTTACACATGTTACCATCTCTACCAACAGCACCTAATAATCCAGTGAGGAACTGGTTTCAGCAGTTTCATCCTCGCTAAAGCTAGACGGCATCTCTGCACCAGATCTGCATGATCATACATTATGTTACGAGAAAAAACAAAAAGTCTCTATCCCATAACAATTTGGATGCAAAAATTTCTAAGGAGAAATAGGAAACTGTTAATTGGGCAAGACCATGATGTTTGGCACCAATCCCTTCAAATTGACCACAAGGTGGTTCTAGTGGAATTTAAATATTTAATGCTTGCCCTGAAAGTGAAGTCCTGTCCACGCACATGGAGCTCAATTAACCAACCAAGCCACACCTGGTGTTTAGAGACCCTCGTTTACTCGAAAAAGCTTTTTAGCAGCAGATGCTTACTAGAGTTTTGATTAAAAACTTTTTAAAAGCAAAATAAGCACACGACAATGAAACCATTGGGACAACACTGCATGTTTGATCTTCATCGCCAATAAAATATCATAATGGATTTTCAACAACCATTACTTTCTAGTGCCTTGATAAGGACTTGGGTATTATGAGGTGTTTAAGTCTCATATTAAGTAGTATGGGATGCTTGGTGGAGTACTTAAGTGGCTTGGATCCCCCCCCTTGACAGCTAACTTTTAAGGAAGAATACCCCCGAGTGCGCAGATGCTTATTAATTGGTATCACAACTTGTTGCCGGTGTCTCAGAGAACGCTACCAACAAAGGGGGTGACCAAAAAGGTTGAGGAAGTGAAGCATATAGAGTGCAGCCACCGAGACATTAACTCCCACAGGCAGTGCTATGTTAGGGACTTGGGTATTATGGAGTGGTTAAGTCTCGCATCGAGTAGTATATGATGCTTGATGGAATACTTAAGTGCTTGATTCTCCCCCGTTGACCCCTACCCTAGCTTTTAAGGGAGGGCTCCCCAACTGCCTGATTGCTCATCATGCCTTTCAAAAATCTAAATCATAAAAATAAATATTACTAATATAGTATTTGACCCAACTTTTTGAGGCTTCTTTTCTTCTTAAAAGTAAAACCTCTTCCAATTAGCTTCTATCTATTATATAAACTCTTGTTTTGGGGGTTTGTTCATAAAAAAGAAGAAAACCACTTTTTTGTTTAAAAGCTTTTTTTATTTATTTTTTATTATAAATTATGTTTGGCCTATCTTCTCCCTTTTAAGGAGAAGAGACACCCCCCTCCCCCAAAAATGTCAAGTCAACCGCTACCTAAATAAACATGCATATGATTCAAAAAAATTACATTGACAACCCAAGTGATCATATGGTCAAGAGAGGCAAAAACAAACATATAAATACACACCTCTGAATTTTCCTTGGTTCCATCTCAGCAAGAGGTGTTTGTTTCACATGGTATTGTTGAAGCGGGTCAACTTTAGCTCGTTTTGCAACCTATACACATAATAAAACAAACCACCATTATACACATGCACGGAAGGAGAGGAGTGAGCTCAATAGGAAATCAAATACTCACACTCCAGAAAGACAGTTTAAACATCTAAAACTAACCATGATTTCATTTGAAAGCATCCCTGCTCCATCTCCATCACGGTATGCATTTTTTGCTTTCCTGTCCCCCTTAATCATATCTTCCTGCACATTTGATACAAAATATAGGCCTTTTTAAACCATCTGTAAGCAGAATAAATTGATCAATATAAATATAACACAGAGATAGGGCAAATATATTAATTAACCTTTGCCATCCTAGCAGATAACCCCCTTTCTTCAGTATCCACAGGAACACGGGATTTACGCATTGAACCAGAAGGTTTAGATTTTACATGTTCGCTCCTTTGTATATTCTTTGGATTGATGTTATCATAACCATGCAGCATCAATTCTTTATGCTTAACTGCAACCTTCTTCTCTTCATAGTGATCACTATGGTTAGAAGCAGAATCAGATCTCATCCCCTCAACACCTTGCTTAGTGCTCATTCTATGATTCTTAGTGCTATTATAACCAGATGCTTCTCCAGTAGAGTCTTCATACAAATCTGAGAAAGAGTTCCTTCCAGGAAAATGATTGGTATAACCGTAGAAAGCTTGCCTTTGTTTTATATTCTGGCGGGCTTTCTTATCTTGTTTATCCTGGAAATCAGATTCATGCAAGGAGCCAAAGTCAGCTCCTTCCATATGTGAATCTTGGGAACTAAATTTAGTATAATATGAATCATATCTCTGCAAATACACGTGTAAAAGAGAGTGAGAAAGCAGGGATGTTTGTATCACAGAACCGCTGTTGTTATGTTTATAAACAGGGAGAGTTTAAAAGTGCTCAACAGCAATAAAAAGATTTTACATTGAGCAAGCACAAGTATAAAATTAATGTAAGTACTTATAAAGCAAATCACAGCTTCAAATCCATTTAAAAGTTTACCTTGAAGTCAAAATAACTTTAAATGATGAAAAAGTCTCGCCTTACATTTTATTTTTTCTTTCCTCTTAAGGGGTGACAGGATCTTATGTTAGACTTATAGCACTATCGAAGGTCAGTTACAGGTAGGAAAACACTTGAAAACAATTTTTTCAGAGAGAAATAGTACAAAAGAATGTCATAGATTTTGAGAGTCAACATATTCAGAGCTAGTAGCGAGTAAATTATTTTTCTCATCATAATTTTGTAACATAAATAATCAGGTCACTGTCCAATCTTTCAAACATGCATAATATAATTTAAACACAAAAAGTGCATTACAAAGGTCACTTACAGAGCTATGACTGGGTTGTCTTTTTGCAGCAGAGATTTCTGGAGAATTCGGAAGTGGAGGATTTGCAACACAGTATGGTTCTGCCATAGAATCCATCAGATTATAAATGCAGGAATCTCAATCTATTCTTAAAATGACTGGATGCAGTTAGAAAAATGATATAGAGTTAATGAAAGAGAATAAAACTCTCACACCTTAGCTACGATGAAATATTTATAGTAAAGCATCCAAAGAGAAAAAAATAAGCTATCTTGACCTAAAGGTCCGAAACATATAAAATAGCACACTGCACACAGATTAACATAAAAAGCCCCAGTGCTATGAACCTTAAAATGCAGCATCGATCTTTATGAGTAAGTTCTCCATTTAAGGGTAACAAAATTGCAATTTCCTCCATGGTTGTGTGTTGGGCAAATACATATCAAGCAAATAAAAAAGTGAGACAGCAGGTAAAGGTAAAAAAGATAAATGACTTACATATAGGAACTAAACTTTGTAGCTTTTGTAAACTTCTTAAGGTAACTTGGTTCTGATGCTAAAATTTCATATCAAAAGCCTCATAACATATAAACACTGGCTTAAGGGTAGGGACTAACTTTTGACAAGTACTCTTAATATATATACCTTATAAATAACATCATGAGATTGTCATTGACCTTATTGGTATCAGTACTGAGGAGACATCTGCTTGAATTCCCTAAAAAGCATCTAAATCATCCCAATGCATAGCATACAAACATGATGCAGGTTAGGTGGAAAACACTTATTTACTGTTCTTGAAACAACCCATCCCCTATCACACCCAGTTCTATCTTTAATACTTGCATATAATTTTTTTTTCACAACTTAATGAGCAACAACACATTACTTTAACCCAAAATGGCAAATTATATTGTTTCATTTTCAACACTAAACATTTCAGTCTTACCAAACTAATTGAATGAGACATTTAAAAAAAAAATGGAAAAATAGAATGTGGTGCAACCTACCATTAGCTGGATCTGCAGTTTGGCACTCAAATGCCCCTGGAGGAAGTGTGTCAAACTCTATACCAAGTACTGGACCATCTTCCAGATAATGCCTTCCTAATTGCTTCTTAACAGCAGTTATAGCAGCATGTTCTATCTCTCCCTTCACTTTTAAATATCCTGATGGTTTATATCCCATGTTAAGGGCACCTTTGGGATTTAGAGGTGGAAGAGCTCCATTAGGTGTAAGATGTCTAGAATGCTCCATATCATATGGATCCTGACCTTGAGAAAACAACCTTTCTTGCAAATATGAGCTGCTCTCAGATGATGTCTCATCCACTCCGCTAACATTTTCAGGATAACGGCTCCTACGTCCATGAGTCATATCTGCAACTGAAAATTCGTGATTGTAGAGGCCATGGCTCTCAACCTCCTTAGGATCCAAGTACCTGTAATCAGCATGTTTACTGCTTCCACATGAATCTTGCCCAAGTCCACTGCCACGATCCTGGATGACACCGCTTGAACGATCTTGCCGTCCATTAGCAACGGCTTCATCTTTCATCATTCTTTTATCTTTTAACCTTCTGTGGCAGAACCATCCAGATATTTGCTTTTCTGTCAATCCTAACTCATCAGCAAGTTCTGATTTCATTTCCTCTGTGGGATACTTTTTCTCTGGAGACAAAGGTAAAAATAAAAAATAAAAATCCTCAAAAATTACTATTTTTGCATTGACACCCATATATATGACAAAAAAAGTATTCTTACCATTATAAAATTTCTCCAAGGCCAAAAGTTGGGCCGGTGTTTTCAGTTTTCTTTTCTTATTTTTCTCATTGGAGACTTTATTTTCTTCTGATTGCAATTCACTTGATTCTAAACACCAACAGAAAAAACAGGAAGTTTACTACATGTGTTAGTATGGGAAAAAAAATAATTATAATAATGTATGCAAGAAGACAAAACAATCAAGAAACATCATATGTTATATTAACAGCTCAAATTGATCCACAAATGTTATGGAATCAAAAGATACAAATATATGCTGAAGTGTTGAACAGTGATCACAACATGGAAAAGGATGCATGCACTAGCAATTGAAGTCAAGTTACACATGTGAATGTTGACAAGAACCTGAAAGTCTCTTTCCTAAAATATTGAATCAATAAGCGAGATGATTTGATCAAATAATTGTAAGAGAATGATTTTGCAATTAAAAAAAAAAGTTTTAAGGAGAATGCATAATTTGGGAGCTGTCAGGATATTATAGATCCTTCAATAACAATTTCACATAGGTAACGAATTTCATGATCCTATCTTAGTAAGTCCCTGAGCTCTTAGTAAATGCAATGATGCAAGACCTGCTAACATCAAATTGCTGAATTGCAATTTGTGAGTGTATTGAAACTACTGTCCAGTCCCATTTTAACATAATTTATCATTTATCATAAGTCAACAATCAGCATAGTAGCAGTGACATGGAGCCAGAAGGTAGACTGTATCTTTTACATAAAGCAGAATAATGATAGAGCTCACGGATTATTCACATGTGTAGCTTAAACTGTATGATTTGGTTAACATATCAAGGTGATGGGGTATGAGGAAGATAAAAGAAATCATAGAGTACTTCCTTCAGATACTGAGTATTCCTCCAACTCAACTCAGATACTCTCTAAAAGAAATTGCTACTATTCAATTGCAAAAACCTGCAAAAGGTCTACTATGGGGTCTATATATAGACCAACTAAATAAAATAATCTTAAATATAAGATAATGATAATCAAATCTAAAAGATAACACAAACTAATTACCCTAAGTATGAAATCAAAATTAATATCCTAAATAACATCTGTTTAGATGTAATTCAATCCCCATCATAAAGCAGAAGGGAGCTGCAACTCCAAGAGTGAGTATTGTGCAGTTAAAATGATCAGGGAAGAGGACAACCAAATAAATCAAATTTTGGAGAGGGGGAAGAGAAATCTGTTCATCATAAGTATTGATGCCTATTCTAAGATATCAATGTATTCTATACACTAGCATCGATATCATTTGTCATATGATAAAACTTCGATACAACCAACTCATTACTTGCAACCGATCAGTTACCTGTTCCTTATTTCTATAAAGTTTTAATGTCAACTAAGCAATTTTTTTTTTTTAAAAAAGTTTATAATCTTACAGTCTTTGACGAAGAACCCGTGATTTGTGCTAATCAACACCAAGTGCAAATGAAAGAAGAAGATCAACAATAGAAACAAAGGGCCAATTCAACACATTCCACATCGAAAGTAGATCCAAACTTAGACACCGGATAATGGCCATTGACAGAGCAAACAAAAACTCCTCCAATCCATAGAAAAAACAAAAGGAGGAAGACAATAATGTATGAAGACATGAAATACTAAATTTCAATTAAGATCAAAATCAATCAAACCCCATTTGAACCCTTCAGTTTGACTCACTTTTCGAGACCCCAAATACCCCAAATTGAAGACCTTGGAGCCATACCCACCATCACAACACCCTAATGCAAACAATCCATATTATGGGTTCCAACCATCAATTTCAAAGCACGAAAATTGAAGTAATCTGAGAAAAATCAAGCACTAAATCAAATACCCAAATCCGTGATGAGGCCAAAGTTGAAGAAGAAAAGACAATACCTTCCATGGGGGTGAGGAATTGCGGCGAAAAACGGTGTTTCTGTTAAAGTTTTGTGGGCAAAGGTGCGAGGATTTTCAGTGGCTTGTGAGAAAAGCGAGAGGGAAAAGGAAGAGAGAATGCAACATTAAGTCGGAATTGAATGCGGTTTCAATTTGACCCCTTAACTCGGCTTAGGAACAGAGAAAGGAGCTTCTGGTGAAGACGGAAAGACAAAGGGAGAAGAAGAAGAAGAAGAATAAGAAACAAATTCAATTCGTCGTATGTCGTATTTTGCTTGCTTGTTCCAATCAATCTCTGCATTCCTCCTAAATAAATAAATCAGATTTGCTTCCACTAAATAAAGTAAAATGCATTTTAAAACTTATAACTATATTTTAATCGCATTTTTTTTCCTGGAATTTAACTATTGAAACTGCCAATCTTAATCAAGATAACAATAATAATATTTTTTTTTTATTAAATCGCTTTGAGAAAAAAATCCAATCAATCAAATTAATTTTATAAAGTAGTTCTATTTGGTTTAATTTAATTTGTTAGAAAGCATTTTGTTTAATGATATTATTTTTTAATTTATAAAATATAAAAATTATCTACACTAAATTTAAAACTAAACTATGGCAGATGTTAAAAAAACTAAACTTAACTTATCCAAAAATAAATTCATCTAAGTTTTTTTTTTTTTATAAGCAAAATAAATTAAGAGGAGTACAAGGGGTACTCCAACCAATTACAAAATACAGAGTCACCTAAACAAAATCTGACATAATTCATACAAAAGGTAATAACCAGATTGTAATGTCTACCACCATTACAAAACTAGGACCTTAAAATGTCATCTAATAATCAAACAAGTTCAGTAATCAAAAAATCAGATACAAAACTAACACCATGGTGTGTACAGAATCAGAAATAATCATTATTCCAGAAGTTAAGGCAAACATCGGGGGAAGAAAACCACACTGAGAATGGGTAAAAAAATGACTTATCTTTGGTCTTAATCCAATTCCAGCTACGTAGTTTGATTAATTCCACTAAATCCGTAATTGTCACCACCTTGTCTTTAAAAATGACATCATTTATAGCAAGCCACAGAGACCAAATTGTGGCTAACCAAACCATAGACCACCTCATCCTATCTCTACCATTGCATCTAGGAACTCCAATAAAATGAGCAAATTTTTCATGACAGGAATTGTGTAAAACTGTTGAAACACCAAACCAATCAAAAATAGATAACCATACAGAATAGGCATAATAACATCCGAATAAAAGGTGAAAGGTATTCTCCAAATCTTCACCACACCAAGCACATCCACTAGCAGAAATATTAAGAACCTTCTGCTTAATTAAGTTACATTTACTTGGTATTCTATTCAGCAAGGCCTTCCAAGCAAAACCTGATACTTTAGACGGTACACAACTAGACCAGAGAAATTTATGAAGCGGAAAATCTGTGTAGATACCATCATTAATCACCATCTTGTATGCTGATTTCACATTATATATCTCATCATTAGAATCCTTCCAACACCACCTATCACAAAAATCATTCTTTAAGACAGTTGATCCTAAATCAGCAGCTAATTGTGATAATAAATCTAATTCCCATTGAAATAGACTCCTACGCCAAGACCAAATCCACTCAAAACCTCCATCCCTCCAAAGCACCATGTTTGCGACTGATACATCCTTGTCAGAAGCTATAGAGAACAATCTACTATATCGATTACAAAGAGATCCCTGACCACTCCAACCATCCTTCCAAAAAAAGGTATTTCGACCATCCCCCACCACCTTGGTACACCTAGAAGAGAACCAATCAAATGATGCGTATGGAGCAGAATCAATGGTCCACAGATCAACCCACCACTTTGAACTTTGTACTTTATCACCAGTCCCCTAAAAACAACCCTCCCCATAAATAGAAGTGACAACCCTATGCCAAAACCTACCCTTTTCAACTAACATTCGCTATCTCCACTTTTTAAGGAGAGCAAGGTTAAATGCTCTAAGGTCTAGAATTCCCAACCCACCATGTTCCTTTCCCCTACACACCTCCTGCCAAGCCACCCAAGCAATTTTCCTATGATTTTCATCCCCTCCCCAAAGAAAGAGTTTAAAAAGAGATTCAAGTTTAGAAATGATGCCTTGAGGAGCCTTGAAGAAAGAAAGATAGTAGGTCGGAATGGAATTAAGGACTGATTTCAAGAGGACACTACGCCCACCAAAGGACAAAGTTGAAGACTTCCATTTTGATAACCTCTTCTTCACTTTAGAAATCACGGGCTCCCAAGTTTTGATACAATGTGGATTTGCCCCAAGAGGTAACCCCAAATAGCAAAAAGGTAAAGAACCAACCTTACAGTTTAGAAACTGAGCCATCAAGTTTAACACTTCAATATTAATATTGAACCCAAAGAGCTTACTTTTATGAAAATTAACTTTGAGACCCGCCACCAACTCAAAAATCTGTAAGATGGATTTTATCGCCCAAACATTATGTGAAGATGCTCCACCAATAATCAAAGTGTCATCTGCATATTGAAGGTGAGACACATTAACTGACTGGTGTCCAACTGAATAGCCACTAAGCACATGACGTTCCACAGCTTTGCTCATCAATGCATTAAGGCCCTCAGCAACTATAAGAAATAGAAATGGAGCAAGCGGATCTCCTTGTCTTAGTCCCTTGCCAACCCCAAACTCACCAGTGGGACTGCCATTTAATAGTACAAAAATTCTTGTAGTGCTCACACATTCAGCAATCCATTTCCTCCATTTTAACGGAAAATCCATCCTTTCCATCATGTACTGAAGGAACTCCCAATTAACTGAATCATATGCCTTTTCAAAATCAACTTTAAAAAGCAAGCATTTACTTTTCTTCCTTCTAATCTCCTCAATAATCTCATTGGCAACCAAAATTCCATCAAAAATAGATCTTCCTTGTATAAAGGCTGATTGACAATCTGAAATAACGTTACCTATTATTGCCCTCAATCTGTTAGCCAACAATTTTGCCACCACCTTATACATACAACCAATTAGGGAAATTGGTCTGTAGTCTTCAACTCTCTGAGGGCTCTCAATCTTTGGGATTAGAACGATAAAAGAGCTATTGGAACCCTTCACTAATTTTCCATTTGCATGAAACTCATTGATAAAAGCCAAAAAATCTACCTTGACAACCTCCCAAAAGTCTTTAATAAAATTAAAATTAAAACCGTTTGGGCCTGGACTTTTGGAACCATCACAATCCCATACAACTTCTTTCACTTCTTCCTCAGAGAAAGGCAATACCAAAGAAACCATATCTTATTCAGACAAAGTCTTGAAATTCACACCATCCAAAGATAGCCTTTGGCTTGACTTTTCCTTGAAGTGCATTTCAAAAAATCCCCGAAATGCCTCCTTGAGAGCTATAGGATCAGAATGACGCTCACTGTTCACCACTACAGATCGCACCATGTTCCGCATCCGCCGCTTGTTAATGCAAGCATGGTAGAAACTTGTATTAGCATCTCCTTCACGTAACCATCGCAATCTAGATTTCTGAAACAATAGACTTTCTTTTTGTGACAACAGATGAAAGGTTTTAGCACGCCACTCCCTTTTAAGCTGAATGTCCACATCACATAGAATTCCTTCTTCTGACTTAAGATCCAAATAGTGAGCGAGCCGACTAGCCTCCTCAATTTGTGTATCCAGTTGGTCGAATGATTGTTTATTCCAAACCCGCAAAATATTTTTCAATCCTTTTAACTTTTCCTTCAATACAAAAGCCACTCTCCCATCTACTTGTAGATTTTGCCATTGCTCCTTAACAAAATCACCAAACCCAGATTCGCATCTCCAACAGTCAAGGACTCTAAAAGGTTTCGGTCCCCAGTCAATAAATTCATCTAAGTTATAAAATTAAATTGTTTTGAAAAATAATCAAATCAACAAATTGTTTTGGCTTAATTGTGTTTTTGATCCCTCAAGTATTGCAATTGTGCAATTTTGATCCTCAATGTTTTAATTGAGTAATTTTAGTCCTTAAAATATTGTAATTGTGTAATTTTAGTCCCTTAATTTTTTATTGAACAGTTTTAGTCCCTCAACTATTATAATTATGCGATTTTAGTCTTTCTCATTAAAAATTTAGTAATTTTAGAATTTATATATATATACATATATATATATATATGATGTTTTAAAGTTATACAATTGTTTTCTTATTTAAGTTAATATATATTATAATTTTTTGTTAATATATCAAATGGTATATATTTATTATTACTAAATAAATAAAATTTATATATTATTAGTATTTTAATATTACTGATAAATTAATATCAATAATATTTTTAGTATATTTATAGATAAACTAATAATTTGATAAATATGACTTAGTATATATTAATATAATTTTACAAAAATATAAATATATAACAAAATACTAATAATATACTTATATTTTTGTAAAAGTATATTAATATATAATAAATTATATTTATCAAATTATTAATTTATCTATAAATATACTAATAATATTATTGATATTAATTTATCAGTAATATTATAAAAATAATAATATATAAATTTTATTTATTTATTAAAAATAAATATATATCATTTGATACATTGAA